GGCAAGCATTGTCTGTGCGCGCGCCGTTTTTCCTTTTRTTCATGACAAAGGTGGGTCCATGTGCTCATGAGCTTGGAATTCTACTAGGATTTTCGAAAAGATTGTAAAGGGGTACCACAATCATTTATGTGATCACTGACAAGTTATTTTACCTTTAACRGGAACGCCTGGAGCTGSTGCCATCGCAGCTCCTCCTTGAGCTGCTGCCATCGCAGMTCCTCCTTGAGCTGTTTTTATTTCCTGAGAAAAAAAATTAATATCAACATCAACGTCGTCATCAACATCGTCGTCAACTTCATCAACGTTGTCGTCTTTATCAACGTCGTGTCCAATCCTCATTTTTATTATCATTATTAACGTCGTCATGATCAGCTCTCCTTCATCTTCATCGTCTTTATCATCAACGTGGTCATCAACATTGTCGTCAACTTCATCAACGTTGTCTTTATCAACGTCGTGTCCAATCCTCATTTTTATTATCATTATTAACGTCGTCATGATCAACTCCCCATTATCTTTATCATCAACGGTGYCATGATCAACTCTTCATCATCGTCATCATCAGTGTCATCCTCATCATGCATTATCCTCATCAAAGCTGTCATTATCAACTCGTCATCGTGTCTTCATCAACTTGTCATCGTTTATATAATCAAATCTTCTGTCATAAAGTACTTACCGCAGAACGCCAAGTCCGTTTTACGGCATTAGCTTGTTCTTCGAGTTGATCGAGTTCCTACAAACAATCAATCAATAAATCTAAACAGACACACAGTAATAGGGCGTAACTTTCAAAACTTTAACGTTCAATACAGAGCTCTCAATGAAAAGAGGGTAAAAAAACACACACTCGTTTGCCTCATTGATGAGCAACTTCTTTAGATAAAATTATAGGAGCTCATAACTGAGGAAATAAACTACTTTTCCACGAGGTTACTAACATGTTTTGTTTCTGCAAATTTTTTATACTTCAAAACTTCAATATGAAATTTCTCGAAAATGCTCATACAGATTTTCTTCAAATTTTCTGAACTTTGAGCAAATTACTTATTCTCCAATATTTCAAAAGCAATTAAGAAAGTTAGGTCAAAAAATGGAGAAAATAGACAATAAAGTAAACGCACCAACGCTTAACAGCGATCTTATATCAATTCCGATTTCAGTAAAAACATGCTTATTCAAAAATTTCATCTTTCCCTTGAAACTTCTAAAAATAATTTTGAGATTTGCATTGTTTGCGTCCGCGTATTTGCGATTTGAAGTTGAATGGTAGCGCGCGGATAAAACCCTATGGAGCCACCTTAAGTATAATCCAGGTCTCTTTGTGTACAATTTGATAACTTACAGAAAGGAGCTCCGAGTAGAACATCATCAGGTTGACTAGTAGATCATCGAGTTCTTCCCAATCCTGTAAAATACGTGTTTGTTAACATCGATCTGCTATGCCAATGGACTAATATGTGTTGCTTAATTCACTACTAGGCAAAACAAAGTTACACTCGTTCTCGCCAAAGACTCGCTCGAAATTGTACGATTTGSCTTTGTAASAGAGTGAGTTTGGTGGACGATCAATCAAAGTGTTTTCAAGACATTGATGGTAAAAGGAATATCAAGGACACATTCCTATAGGAAAAGTTACACTCG